TACTCTGTGTGGTGTATGGACTGGAGGAGGCAAGGCAGGGAGATTATGAAGAAGCTGTCATAGTCTGATTAAAGAAAATGAGTGACTGGTGATTGATCTTTGGGTCATCTTTCAATGAAAGTTTTTCAGGCTTGGAGCTAATCATACGAATTGGGGAAACTGAGAAGCTAAGAGACCACATGGTTTAAAGCAGTGCATACATGTCTGAGGTGAACTCTCAAGGTAGCCCAAATGTCAACTCCTCTAGGAAGCCTTCCATCATCCGCACGTGGACAGAGATCATCACTGGCTTTGGGGATACCAAAGCATGTTGTCAATTTCTCTACCATAGCACTTATCACATGCTGTGTATTTCTTTCTTCCTCGGTCTCCTCGTCTATGGACTCTAGACTCAATGTTAGGGACTCTATCTTATTCATTTTTGTACCTCCAGTACTTGGAAGCATCAAAAAACATTTGCTGAATGAATGAAGGGAAGAGAGAGGCTGTGTGGACTGGCTGTTGGGACATGGGTCTCTAATCCTGGCTCTGCTAATAAGCATCTGCGTGACTTTGAACAAGTCTCCTCACTGCTCTGGGTCTCAATTTCTTCATCTGTAAAATGAGAGTAAAAACACAACTCTCCTTCTCAGGGTTATGGAGATTAAATGAGGTAACAGAGCTTACCAGCTGCCTGCCCTGTTTGTGCCCTGCCCTGGAGAAACAGCCTGGACTATTGTTCCTTCATTTGGATCTCATTTGCTCTCTCTCTCCTGGCTACAGCCGAGCTGAAAACTGTGGCCTTGTTGGCGGGGAAATTTGCTGCAGTAGCATATATACCATCTAGGTGGCCCCTATGTTGCTGGGAGGGCAGAGACCAACAGAGGAGAGCATGACAGGTTAGAGAGAGAGATCTGCTTCTTTTGTGACCCCTAAAAGCTGAAGGAGGACCGAAAGTAGGGAGACTGAGGCAGAGCAGATCTATATCACATGCTGATGGATCTGAGGAAACCCTCAAACAGTGTTCCCTTTACCCTGAATTTAGCAGCATCCGAAGGAATGCCACTGCTATGAAGTCCACACATTTAATGTCATAATTTCTCAGTGCCTTGGGCTGATATGATTAACCCTCTCATGAGGTTTCAAGTGCTAAGAAAGATGTAGAGGAGGAGAGTGTAAAAATTGCAAACGCCAGATAAAAGGAATGACATTCTGGAAAAAAATAAAAAGAAATAAAATCATGATTTTTGGACACTGTTATCTGAAGAGATGACTAACAATTCCCAGGTGAGATGTCTTTCCAGAAGATCTTCTAGCATTGCTCCTTTTACTTTATAAAGGCAAACTTTTTCATCAAAACTCGATATTTCCCTGACTTATAAGGCATGTAGCTGGGGAGGTCTTGAAAGCTGCAACTGAAAAATTGTAGAGCTTTTCTGGGAGTCCCATTTATTAAGTGAGTTTATTTAGATGTATGGATTTGGACTTATCACAAGACAAGTGGTCAAGGGAAGACAATGGGAAAGGAAAAAAAAAGACGGGGATTTAGGCCAGTGAAATTGCTCCCCAAAGGCTAAAGTCAGTCCTGGTGTTAAAGCTAGTGACCTTAAAAATAAATAAATAAAAGTATGTTTCCATTTTGCAAGGCTTTTAAAAAAAATATCGTGTGCTCAGATGGCACCTTTAATCATGAAGAATTTTTGGCTGAGTTCCAGGCTGATTCTGCTGCACAGAGAGCTCTGAGATCATACCCTATATTCAGTGCACAGAAGAAGTATTTCATCCATCTTTGAAATAGAGGGGGAAATGGAGCAAATTTCTACAGTTTCATAGCAAACCAAACTATGGTGAAAAGTGAAGGACATCGTATCCATTTGGAGTTACAGAAAGGTACTATTAATTCAAAGTACTTAAGTGGTATTTTTTTTGTTTATTCTCAGAGGGCTTCACAATAAACTAAGCAGCTTGCATAAATTCAAAGGTAGTCTCTACTTCACAGATATATAAATGAAGGCAGACAGATTTTGTGATTTACCTAAGACTACTTTAAAAAAAGAAAAGGGAGAGGTAAAGAAAAAAAAGCAACTCCCAAAGTGGCAGGTTGTAACCCAGGAGTTTGAGCTCTTAGAGCTGAATTTAATCCACACCCAGGCCAAATATAATTCTCCAAGATGGAAGTGGTCCAGGACACCAGAGTTCACATTCCCTACCTTTGCCAAAGAGCCTGAGGTGGTTTAGTGACAAGCGGTCAGAATCTCATTTCTGTTTCTTAACTGAAAGAAAGTCAGGCCAGCATCATCTGACAGGCACTTCCAACCGTGGCAGGGTACTGGTTCAAGCCCATCTGGAGGAAGTATGTTTCCCCTTGATTCATCATTGTCTCTTGCATCACTCTGTTATTCTTTGGAGGTCTCCAGTTCAAAGGTCTATTTAAGTTGGACAGTTGGGTCATACAATCTTAGATGGCATGGTTGAATCACAGCTTTACTTCATGTGACAATCTTGAGCACTAGTTTATATACTGTGCTTCTTCTTTACTATATTCCCTAAGTCTTAGATGTGAGAAAGGCCTGGATGATTGCTCAGTGTATTAAAAATTGAACCCTCACTACTAAATGGTGAAAAGTGGTCTAGACAAAAGCTGCTGTGGAAATCTGAAAGCCATGATCTTTTCCACACTTTCTCTCTTCACCCTCATTTTGTTTGGTAATACACAGGGACACTCACGAACAAAAATAAACCAACTTACCCTTGACTGATTGTTCTGTCTTTGGAGTTATCAAATGTGAGTACTCTGGCTGCCAGATATGGTGAAGTAAAGAGACTGCTCGGAATCCAGTCACAAATTAGAGTTGATCTTTCAGCATTTTCTACCTAGAAGAATGGTTCTGGAGATTCAGATTAACCCGCCCTGACCCAAAGTTGGAGCCCCCATGGTGCAGCGGTTCAGCGTTCTGCTGCTAACCAAAAGGTGGGCAATTTGAATCCACCAGCAGCTCCTTGGAAACTCTGAGTCAGTTCTGCTCTGTCCTATAGGATCGCTATGAGTTGGAATAGATGGCAATGGGGTTTTTTTTTTTACAGGCCCCAAAGTTCATCTGGCTTCTGAATCACATTTGGATTTCAGAAATGTAAGAAAGCATATTAGAATCCTGGTATGTTTCCTTAGAGCAGCCCTGTCCATCCATACTTGCTAGCTTTTTTTTTTTTTTTTTAACCCCTTACTCTGTCTCCAATTCATACACATTTCAGCTGCTCCCAGGAATGCTCAACTCAGTCAGAGCACCTTTAAGGAATGCAGAACCGTCTTTGGAGGTAGAGGGTGAAACGTGGCAACTCTTCCACAGGCACGAACCAATATAGCAAAGCCGTTCAGAGTAGAAGGTTTTGCTAGGGCTTAAATCAGGTTGTCAACTCAAACACAATGGGCTTTGTTACTCCTGTGTAAAGAGGAAGTGGAGCAGTTTTTGGCTTCCCCAGACTGTATTGTAGGGTGTGCAAGCAGGATGGTAATTCCAGGCACAATCTTCACGAGACACAAATCTACTTTTGACTTTTCAGTGTTCCCCAGCAAGATAATGGGCCGTTTCTGAAATGCATGGAAATATTCAGCATTTTCACACTGAAGCATATCTAGCAGCTTTAAGCTTGAGGGGAGCGACTGGGTGAGCGGGAAAGGGGTCTTGTCAGAGGGGGATTCTAGCACTTGTGATTATCTCAGAAACCGCACAGGCACTGTGATTCCAAGACATTTTTCTGGTTTGAGCCCTGGAGCTGCAGGGGCCTGCTGCGACGCCCCGCTATTTCTTTAGGTGTAAGTGAGTTAAAAAGTCCTTGGGTGGGAGGCGCGGAGCAACGGCGAAATGCCTAACTCAGTTTAAGGGGAGAAGCAGGGACTGGGCTCAAGAAGCAGCCTAGGGGGTTACGGGGAACGATGGGGACATCCTCTCACTGTGCCGTAACTGTGCTGCAAGTGGTTTTGAGGGCCTTTGCTCTGACAACTTATCACGGGAGGAGGGGGCTGTCCCAGCATGGTGAAGAGGTCTGTGGGGAGGAACTCTCCTCGGGGACCTCCCAAGGGCCAGAAGAGCGCGCGCCCCTTCAAGTGACAGCGCAGTCCCTCTAAGTCCGCTCCCCTCCCCCGCGGCCAGTCTCCGGGCAGAGGCGCCTCGCGCCAGCTCGTTCTCTTCCAGCTCTTCACTGACCCGGGCGGCCCGAGCCTCAGCGGGAGCCCCGCCCGTCTCCGGGCAGCTGGAGCCCCCGAGCGTTAGCCCAGCCTGTCAGTAACCGCCGTTTGCGCTTTCTCCCCCCTCTCCTTTTTTTTCTTTCCCCCTTCTGCCTTTGTCCCGCTTAGTAACTGGGCTCTGACCAATCGCCGCTTCACCGGCCGGCGCCGGCGGTCTCCTGATTGGCCCACTTGGGGCGCGCAGCGGTCTCCCGCTCCTTCGCTGGAGCAAGGCAGACAAAAGACGCAGGCTCCCGGCTCCGGCAACCGGGATCAGCCAATCACCACCTACCTTATCCTTCCCCCCCCCCCCCTTCATCCCCTGCTCCCCTCTCCCTCCCAGCCTGGCTCGCTAGCTCGGGGCACAGACTCCTGGCTTGCGGCCAGCGCCCGGACCGTACCATTATGATCGACACTGTGGGGGGAGAGGTGATGACTGCTTACGGAGCCGAGGCCTAGAGAGGGGTGGGGAGAGTTAAAAGCCGAGATGAAGGACAGCTGCATGAACAGTTTCTCGAATGCCTGACAGGATTTCCAGTACATAAAGGTTGGATAGAGAGGAGGGGCAGTGGTGATGCTGGTTGTCCCCCCTGTCCGACGCGGGTGGGTTGTGTCTCAGCAGGAGGGGGTAGGGGCGGGGGTGAGTGTCCCCTCCGCGCTGTTAAAATGAAACTCTAGTGGCTGCAGCCCCGGCTGAGCGTGAGGGAAAGCCGGCACTGGCGGGTTTGCTGACCGCCCGGCGGGAGCGTCCAGCCTAGCGGAGCTGACTGGACCCTCCGACTCTCGTATTCCAAGGCTGCGGCAGCTAGGGTTCTGGGCCCGGCGAGAGCGGAGCCCGAGTCTCGGCCCCTGAAGAGATACCTCTCCGCAGACTAGTGGGATCCCGAAACTTGAACGCAATCCCCGGTCCCCTTTTTATACCTTCCTTTGTCACTTCCCCACTTTTCTTCCAACGCGTTCTTTTTTTTTTCTTCTTCATTCTCCCTCCCCCGAAGGACACAAAAGTGGCTTCCGTGGAAATATTTGGAGGCGGTGGGAGCTTTTCTTGTTGGAGAGCGACTGTGTAGAAGGGATTTTTGGGAAGCCACTTTTCACACTCTGTCCTCCGTCCCCGAAAGCCTCTGTACCCCTTTGAGAAGAGAAGCCCATAGCTTGAAAGTTCGAGGGGGCATTTTGCTGGCTGCTGTAGGAGGAGAGGGGGAGGACTCCATCCTCATCCTGGTAGTTGCCTGGACTTGTTACCGGTAGTTGGAAACCCTGAAGTACATTTCCGAGTGGGACTTTTACAGATATATATTTTGAAATTTTTAAAATATCAGATAAAAAAATATATATGCTCTCTCTGTATTTCTTGACGACCTGCCCCTGACAGCGCGATGTACAATACGGTGTGGAGTATGGACCGCGATGACGCAGACTGGAGGGAGGTGATGATGCCCTATTCGACAGAACTGATATTTTATATTGAAATGGATCCTCCAGGTACTTGGGAGAGAAAAAAAAAAAAATCTTGTGATGGGTCTGATTCGTGTTTAACGAGACATTGGTAATGTTTTCCAGGCAGAAGTATTCTGGGTGCGCTGAGATTCGGGCTGACGGGCAGATTTGCAGTTAGAGCTGCAGTGAAACTGCTTTTGGTTTAGACGTTTAAAGTTTCCAGTTAGGACCTTGCTCCTATTGTCCTGCGAGGGTGAGGGTGGGAGTGGGGGCTAGAATGGGGGTGGAAGGAGAGACTCGTTTGTTTTACTTATTTGCCTTTGCGTGCGGTTCAGGTTTTCGTCGTTCCCCCCACTTTTTTTTTTTTTTAAAGACTCATCTACCTGCAAGGGGTGCTTTATATCCCACTTTCACTTCTTGGGCGCTGGGAAGCCAGTATTTGCCTGGGGGGAATTCTTAAAAGCTTGTCATTTCATACATTTGTCTAATTTGGTTCGTTGTGCTTTACCTTTGTTAACTTCTGGAAGTGGGTTGCCCATTTGATGATTCATTTTAAGACTCCCTTTTTCTCTTACAGAAAGCAAATGCTGGTTAGTGGTGATTTTCAGGGATTGGGCGTTCTTATTCAGTCATGGCCTTAGTCTGAGGTTTTTCTCCTCAGAATATAGTTGATCAGAGAGATCTATGGGCAATGTCTTATTACTCAGTTAATGGTGATGTAGTTTATCTTAATTTATGGGACGAGGTTAATATACTTCTTAGAGGAAAAGAGGAGGAACCTTTTTTGTGTGAATATATGTGTTATGTACATATATGTGATGGTTCGTATACACATAATGTAAAGTGTACATATGCTGTATTTTTATTTTAGAGCTTTGTCTGAGGCCCTTACAGACATTTTGTGTATCTGGAAGGAAATGGGAAGAAAGGGATAATGGAAAAGTTGGGTAATTTTTTTTCTCTAAAGTCTACTCCATTTTATGATTATTAGCTGTCAGATTTTCAGACGCTGCTTGCAATTATAGACAACACTTTATGTAATGATTTTGAATAAGTAGAGAGCCTTTGTGACTCCTTATTTTTGTTGAGGATGAATTCATTATGTTTTTTAAGCCTACAGAATAAATTGTGTGTCATTGGGGAACCTCATTTATTACAAGACTGTGTATTTTTGGAAAGGTTTAAAAGGATTTGGGCCCATGCGATTGTAATGAAGTATAACTGTCTTATAGGATTGTGTAGAAATTGTTTCTTGTGTCCTGTAAACAGTGAATTATCCTCCTTGTCTTTTTTTTTTTTTAAATTAGAGTGTTAAATGATGCTATATTAAAAACTAATACTAATATTGAATCAACCTTTTTCACTCTTAATGATCACTTAGCATTTTTGTTCTTCCCTTCATTTTGGAGCCCTCTTTATTTGCTTTTTAATCGTGATTGCAATTCAGATGCAGCTTTTCAGTGTTTCCCAAAGTTTGTAGGATTTGCCACCCATCTATTGTGTGTGTTTCCCCCTTTGTTTCCCCCTAATGGTAAAGCATCACTTCTGTTAGGTGCATTTGTTATTCATGTGAAAGGAAATTTGGTACATCACTGATTCTAGATTTCCGTTATAAGAATTATATATATTCAAACTGCCTTAGAATCATACTGTATCATATTGTATCTTGCCTTACAGACATACAAAGGGTATTTGTTGGGCGGGGAGGTGAGTGGGAGGAAGGGAGAAAATTAAGGGGGTTGAAAAATATTGGCCTAGTAGAAAAATATTGGCCTAGACAAGTTGAGTTCAAAAATGATTTTAAAAAAAGTTGACTATTATAATTACATAGTGATGTGGATCTTAAAAGATTGTGTAGAATATTCTGATCGAAACTGTGTATTGCATAGAAATAAACTTTTGAGTTTAAAACACTCATCCTTGAATGAAATTTTGCACACTAAGATTTTACTTAGAATATTGAAAATATGCATATGCTGCTCTTTATTATTCATTTTGTAGCCTTAATGTAGAATACAGTTAGTTATTCCTAACAGCTTTCTAAAAATGAAGCATACTTATATGTGCTGAAGCATTGCCCACGAAGTGAATTTTTAATGGAGGGAATGTGAATGCCAACATTGTTTTGTATGATAAGTTAAGCTTTTGAAATATTTAAATACTATAAGTAAATCATTAGTGATGTGTTTACAGCATCTCTTGCATCTGTCTTTTTCCATTCCCCTAGCTCCCTATCACGCTGTTGTTTTTTCCTGACTGGTGTGAGAGCACACTAACTGTTCTCCCCCATATCTACACTCTCCAATCAAGAGTAATATTAAAGTATCCTCTGATGATGATACTACTTTGCTTTAAAAACCTTCCAATGACTTTCCTTTGCCAACTGAAGAAAAAAAAGTCCCAGAATGCTTCCCTGTCTTATCAGTGCCTGAATGTTTTACTTCCAACCTAATTGTCCAGTACAGGTAGTACTCGACTTAGGAAGTATTCAAGTTACCGTGAACCGCACTTAACAAGCATCTGTTTTTTTTTGTATGTCTTTTTGTTAGTAATATGTACTACGTACAATGTTGCAGTGCATAATTTGCTGATGTTATCCTTCTCACATGTTCATGTGCATATGTTCAAAGATCAAATTTATAAAGATACTAAAAAGCAATAATAATGAAAAAAAGTTATTTGACTTTTGTCAGAACTGAGGACGGAGTCGTCGGAATGGAACTGGTTGTATATATGGAACTGTATATTCTTCTCCTGGAGTTCATCACAAATTCTGTGGAAGCTACTTTGTACTTGCTATTCCTTGAATGTATGCTTTTTCCCTTTTTTGGGATGCCTTTCACTTCCAACCCTGGTAGGGTAGTGGTTAAGAGCTACAGCTGCTAACCAATAGGTCAGCAGTTCGAATCCACTAGGTGCTTGTTGGAAACCCTGTGGGGCAGTTTACTCTGTCCTATAGGATCTCTATGAGTCTGAATCGACTTGACAGCAATGGCTTTGGTTGTTTTAGTTTTTCATTTCCAGTGGTCACTTGTTGAAATCTTACATATGTTAAGGACCCAGTTCAAATGCCTTCTTTGCCAAGATGTGTTCCCTGATCCCTTTTGTTGGAAGATGTCATCCCTCTTTTTCCATTCCTATTCTAGCACTTCTCAATGAAACTTCTTCCATATAGAGTAGCTAATGTGTTTATTTATGGAACCATCTTCACCCTCTGGAGCCATCTTTCCATCAGGTTACGAGCTCCTTAGTTGCGCAGGGTCTTGCAAGTAGTAGACAATTTAATAAATATGTGTTGAATTAATTAATAACTAAGGAGTGCTGTTTATGCCTAGCCTTTAGGTGCTTTTTCTACTTAAGATCCTTGGTCGCCTCATTCCTTGGCTATTGCAATAGCTTAGGGTTAAAAGACTTTTGAATTAGACGTTTGTTGACTTAGGGCTATTAGCTGTAATGGTGTCAGCATTTTTATATGGTTTTCATCTTAATTTTAAACCAAACTATAAATACAAAATTACTAATATTATTTCTTCTAATAGCTTCAATAACTATTTTCCAAAGGTATTTCCTTCTAGCCTATCTTTTCAATAACTGCCATTACCATTCGTCCTAATAACTACATGGATTACTATGTCTACCATCACTTACTGCCAATGTGTAGTTTGAATCCAAATGTAAGTTTAATGTCTTTTGTGACAGTAGTAAAAAACTGAACTGTTTAGATGTTAATATAAAACTTTATTTTGGAAATGTTAAGATTGTGGTACAGAGAATTGCTTATAAGCATGTTTATTAATCCTGTTGTGAATTTGGAAATTGGGATTATTCCATGGCAGAGCAGTTGCTGCATAGGCCTCTCAAGGAACCCTGCCTTTATTATAGGAGCTGTTGGAGGATTACTTATACACGACTGATTGTAAACTCGTGTACAAAGCTTGTAGATTGTCATCTTTTAGCTCAGTACCTTAGTTATGACACTATCTTTTTACTTTGGGAAGATTTAAAAATTATGTCATTTTTAAATTAATGGGACATACTTTTGAAAATGGTTTATAGATTTTTTTGTTTTTATCAAGACAAACGTCTGAAGTTAACTTCATGGCTGTGACATCTTTGAAGTGGATAATTAGAAAATTAAAAGTTTTAATTTACACTAAAAACATCAGTATAGGATAGGCTAGAAAAGTGGTTCTCTTTTTTTTTCTCTCAGTACCTCGTTATACTCTTAAAAATTATTGAGGACCCCAAGCTTTTGATTGAGTAGGTTATATCTATTAATATTTACCACATTAAAATAAAACTGATAATTGAAAAATGTTTAATTGATTTGAAACTAATAAGGCTATTACATGTTAATTTTTATGAAATAATAACTATATTCCAAAAAATAAAAAAAATTAATGAGAAGAGTGCCATTGTTTTACATTTTTACTAATTTCTTTAATGTGTGGTTTAATAGAGGACAGCTAAATTTTCATATCTGCTTCTGTATTCAGCCTGTTGAGATATCACGTCATGACTGTGGAAAACCCCACTGTACAGTTGTGAGAGAATAAGAGTGAAAAAGACAAATAATGTGTTAGTTATATTATGAAAATAGTTTTGACTTCTTGAATCCACTGAAAGGGTTGGGTTCCTGGGACCATACTTCGAAAATCTTTAGTCTAGAAGTTAACTGACTACGTACTTTGGTAGACAACCTGCTAAAATATCTTCTGACTTCTTTAAAGCCTGATGAAAGGCTGTTTCAGGAAACTTATTTGCTTACCCTGGCCTAATTTATATTTTCATCCTGGTAAAAATTTGGATTAAGTAACATTCTGGTGGAGAACTGCCATACAGTTTCTGTGGCTGGGGAAAATATCTGCCGAGACCCGCACTGAAGAAATAGGTCACCTGCCACTGTGTGGTCCTTACTCTTAGCAGGTTGGACATCCTTATGAGCTCCTTAGTTGCTCAGAGTCTTGCAAGCGTAGACTTTAATAAATATGTGTTGAATTAATAAATAATTAAGGAACACTGTTTATTTCTAGCCTTTAGGTGCT